GAGCTCTAGTAGCTTTTATATGCTCTATTGTGTTGGTTCTAGAAAAAGAATACAACATTCTGTTCAATAACATTATGCCAAAAGAAACGAAAAGTTTGATGAACTATCAAAATTCCAGCAACTTATAACACTGTCATACTCTATTCCAACCATCATAACTCTTTACATACTTAATATTTTTTACTGCCGTTTTTTTTGTTGAATACTAGACTCCATTGGCTTTCTAATGGTATATTATATATCTCCAAATTCACATCCAATCAGATCAGTTTATTATTTGAAGTTGATCATCCAGCAGAAAATTTTCTTGTGTAACCTTTTTTGCAAGACTTTATTCGAACCATCATAACTCTCTACATACTTAATATTTTTTAGTGCCGTTTATTGTTGTTGAATACTAGACTCCCTTGGATTTCTAATGGAATATTATATATCTCCAAATTCACATCCAATCAGATCAGTTTATTATTTGAAGTTGATCATCCAGCAGAAAATTTTCTTGTGTAACCTTTTTTGCAAGACTTTATTCGAACCCTCATAACTCTCTACATACTTACTATTTTTTAGTGCCGTTTTTTTTGTTGAATACTAGACTACCTTGGCTTTCTAATGGTATATTATATATCTCCAAATTCACATCCAATAAAATCAGTTTATTATTTGAAGTTGATCGTCCAGCAAAAAATTTTCTTGTGTAACATTTTTTTGCAAGACTTTATTCCAACCATCATAACTCTCTACATACTTCAAGATGGAGAAATATAACTCATATGCTCAAATAAAATGTCAAAACTAGTTATAATTATAGATTAATACTTAATCAAACACGTTCAAATGCATTACAATAAGTTCATTTTAACTAAGAAAATGCTAGTCGTCATTCTGACCACCATATAATTCCCACATGTGGTTAATAAGATCACACTTTAAATCTTTATGCACCCTTTTATCTTGAACTTGTTTCAGTCTACCAGCCATCCTTGACATGAGATACGAAAAATCATGTTCCGGAGTAACATCATCCACTGGTTCATCTCTTTCAGGCTGCCAACTTTCAGGATTTATGCCTTGGTCACACTCATTCTCAATAATCATATTATGCAAAATTATGCATGTCTTCATTATTTTTCCCAAGTCTGTTGCGCTCCACATACGTGCTGGACCTTTTACTATATGCCAACGACTTTGTAACACACCAAATGCTCTTTCCACATCCTTCCGAGTAGATTCTTGGCGTTTTGCGAATAGTTTCTCTTTCATAGAAGATGGTTGTGAAATTGTCTGGATCAATGTAGCATATTGAGGATAAATTCCATCGGATAAGTAGTACCCCATATTATAGTGATGACCTTGCACGAAAAAATCGCACGATGGTGCAACATTGTTAACTATATCATCAAATAGAGGAGATCTATCAAGAACAGTCACATCATTGTTGGTACCTGCCATACCAAAAAATGCATGCCAAATCCATAAGCTTTGTGAAGCTACAACCTCAAGGATAAGGGTTGGAACTTTTTTAAATCCGCTAGTATATGCCCCATGCCAAGCAGTTGGACAATTCTTCCAATGCCAATGCATACAATCTAGGCTGCCAAGCATTCCTGGAAACCCTCGACTTGCGCCTTCTTCTAATAACAATGAAATATCATGCTTATTTGGTTTTCTTAGGTATTTTTCTTCAAACAATCCTATTATAGCATCACAAAACCTCTTTAGGCATTCAATTGCAGTGCTTTCACCAATTTGAACATATTCGTCAAGGGAATCAGCTGAACAACCATACGCAAGCATGCGTATTGCTGCTACTGCTTTTTGCAAAGGACTCAACCCTATATTTCCAACAGCATCAACTTTCTGTGTAAAGTAATCATCATAATTAGTTACAGCTTGCAAAATCCGTTCAAATAATTCAATATCCATGCGAAATCGACGCCGAAATTTGTCTAGGGTGTACTTTGACTTGTCACCCTTGAAGTAGTCGTTTAAAATTAATTCATGGCGATCTCTCCTATCACGACGAATATAGGCCCTGCCAACCGTTGAGCCTCCATGGGGACGTTTCCTACCCGTTAAGAATGAGGAAATCATAAATGGAACATGTACTGTACCAATTTGAACCACGTCTGACTCTACATCTTCATCAAAATTGTCATCTCCAAACAATCCCTTAGTAAGTGAAAGAGACTCGGTGCTCGATGATCCACCCATTGAGTGTGAATTAGAGTCTTCTGATGTCATTCTTTCTGCATCAACACGACACGAGGTTTTTACACGATAAAAAATTGATCACAATTATTAAACCATAATATCAAACAGGAGGAGAATTACATGAACAAAATATTTTCACCTATTGTTTGATACAATTAAAAGAGCATAAAATATGGATTAAAAATTATGATTACCTGTAACAACAATTGATGGAGCCTCCTTTGACGATATTTTGTGTTCTAGACGATAAAAATTAACCTCGAGGTGTAACTGAAGAGATTGGGTGTTGAGGAATTGAAAATTGGAGGTGGAGGCTGCGTAGGTGAAGAGATTGCGCAGGAAGTTAACTAATCTGATGCAATTTGTTATGAAGACTGCGTAGGGAGCTTATGGAGGGTTGCTAGTATTTAGTTTTTAATTTTTTTAGCTTATTTATTATTAAATAAATTAAAATCCACTTGTACTTATTTTAAGCTTTTGAAAGAGATGCATTGGAGATGTGTATTCCAAATGAAAGTCTTCTCTTTTCACATTCATATTACATGGATTTACATTCCATTCATCATTTGACATGTGTTTAAATTTAATTAATGTTGAAAGTCTCACATTGGAGATGCTCTTAACTTCAACAACTAATGAGTTAAAACACTTATATTTAGGGGGTGTATTTAATTAGGATTTTTAAGGACTTTTTAAGACTTTAGAAATCCTGGTGTATTCAATTTAGATTTGTTAAGACTTTTTAAAACTTTTAAAAATCCTGGGATATTCAATTGGGATTTTCAAAAGTCTTACAAAATCCTGAGGTATTTAATTTTTTTGACACTAGGATTTATTAAGACTTTTTAAGATTTTGTGGGATTTCTAAACAAAAACCTTATATGAAATCCCACTTAAAATCCTACCTCCGAACTTGAGATTTCATAGAATTCTTCCAAAATCTGAAAATCCTAGAAAGTCTCAAATCCCGAAAAGTCTTAAAATGTCACTTAAATTCCGAATTGAATACACCCCCCTTAGGAAATAAAAAGAGAAAATTGAATGTTTTAGGCGAAAAGTGTTCTAGACACAATTGTTGATTGGCTAGAGATGTGGATTGTAGACTAATTTTATTAGCCATAATTTTTCTCCACAGAAACAATTATTTTTTATATAAGAATTATTCTCTATAGAGTAAACATAAATAAAATATATCACAAATCAAAATTACACAAATTAATTCACTAGGGTAAACATAATCTATATATATATAATAAGAATTAACATTTTTCAAATATAGTAAGCAAAAAAATAGGGAATATTAATTGCATTCCATTTTTGGTATGTTTTTTTAATTTTTTTTAATTAAAAAATCAAGTAGCATTTAATGCTAGCACAAATCATGGGATGTGTTATATAGATGCATATTTGAATTTAAAACTTCAAACAAAACATGCCTAAATGTATTTTGAAATTTTTAGGGGAAAAATTTAACAAACACGTTAAAGATTTTATACAATACATATATTTATATATATTATCTTAACATATAAGTTAATTAGTTTCATATCTAAACATTATATTTAAACAATATGTAAACAAATATAATAATTTGTCGTACAATACAGACAAATATATAAACAATATATTTATATACAAATATAATAAACAAATATAATAAACAATACAAACAAATATACAAACAATATATAAATAAATATAATAACTTGTCATGTGTATATTTCGTACAATACATATATTTATATATATTATCTTAACATATAAGTTAATTAGTTTCATATCTAAACAATATATATTTTAGGAACTTAAAGATTCATAACATTACTGACGTCATGTATATTTATAATATATTGTCACGTACATTTTACTACAACTGGTAACTTTTCTAAAATTATTTGAATAACTGGAGGTTGATTTGTAATTTGAATTCATTCAAACATTTAAAAGAAAATATCATAAGCAGATTTTTTTGATACATTTCATTTTATCTCAACTTACATATAATCACATTCCTACCAAACATTAAATTTGCTTATATCTTTTTAAATTAATTACATCACTAAATAATATTAATATATATTACATATTTATCATTATATAACAAATATATTACTTCTACAAGTGTTATAAATAATAATAACATTATATGATAATAGATTTTTTGATAGATTAATAATTGAGTATTATGATGAACCAAAATATGTAAATTATTATTATTTTGTATTAAAAAATAAATATATATGTTAAAATATTATTTATAATAATATAAACGGGTCAACATGCTATTACAATAAATTTTATAATAAAATAATATGAGTTTTATACGAGGAACAAGATTACGTAAAATTGTTATTTTTCTTATATCAATGAATAAATATATATAATGAAATCAAATTTATATTATTATAAACATATGAGCGAGATAATATATTAATTAATTTACGGTCTAGCGCTACCACTACCAGACTCAGGTTTAATGTCTCGACAAAAAATATGACGTTGATGAAAGAGGTAAAAAAATAGATGATCAAACTCTATTGTTTTTTTAGGCCTTAACTGACAAGCCCTATCGTCCACTCATTTAATATCTCCCGTGAATCACACGAGCTACTTAACAGACAAGCTCTGTGGAAATAACTAATTTAATATTTATGTCCTGTGCATCGCACGGGCTACGTACTAGTTTCTACTAATATGGCTATTCACTTCCCGCTCAGCCTCCACCTTTGCGCACCGTGAAAAAAATTTCCATCTGCCGTGAAGTTGCAGTCCCCGCCGCTTCCGTCCACCGTGAAGTTGCAGTCCCCGCCGCTTCCGTCCACCGTGAAGTTCCAGTCACCGCGTCCGTTGTTCCGGCGCGCCGTGAACAAAGCTTCAGTACTGGAAAGCAATACAGATGGATGTATTTTCACAACCCTTAATTCAGAAAAAACCATCCCAAAATCCCCCAAATTATCCCAACGCGAAAATCATGGCCACAAAAGAAGTATAAATAATTAGGGATTTTATTCCACTCATGGAAAAAACAATCAACCACACGGCCCATCAGAAGGCGGCGGAGGCGAAAGAACATCGGAGGCTATAGCAGCAGCAGAAAACAGGACGGCGATGGAGGCTGAGAACAGCGGCTTCACGGCCGATAAGCGGCGGCTGCCTCTGTCGAAGGTCGTTGCCGACTGCGTCGAGCGGTGGTTCGAGGACGCGCTGAAGGAGGCGAGGGCCGGCGACATCAATATGCAGGTGCTCCTTGGCCAGATGTACTACAGTGGCTATGGCGTTCCCAAAAACGCCGGCAAGGTCTAATCTTTTCTCTCTTTCTCTTTCTGATTTTCACTGTGTGAAGGTCGGATTTCTGTGATTGATTATTGAAAAAAAAAATTGATTTATTCTTTATCTATTTTTCTTCTGTTTTATTACCTTGTGATTATCTCAAGTTTATGTGACCTATGGAAACTTAGGAGAGCCTTTGGTTTACAAGGGCTTCAAGAGTGAGGTCTTCTGTGTGGGAGTTATCGGTAAACGTCCTGGTGAGCTCCTCATCTTTTCCTCTATGCTCGGTAGAAGATTTTTTCGAAATCGAGCTGTTCGTCAACATAGCTTGCTCGAACGAGCACTGTTTGAACAGCTAATCGAGCTCTTTATTAAAACGAGCCGAGTCGAGCTTGTTCGCGAACAACTCATGTTTTTATTTTAAAGAGAACATACTAGTTGAACATGTTCGGGAACAAATATTTCAGTGTTAGGGAACTACTCGTTTAGATATTTAGGTTATTAAACGTGCTAAGCCTCCGCGCGCCGTGAACACGTTAGGTTCCAGCCATCGCTTCCATCCGTCAGTGAAGTTTCAGCCCCCGCCTCAGTTGAACACGCTTGTCTTTCCTTCCGCTTCCGCCACCGGCACCGCCGACACAGAGACCTCTGCCGTAAGTTGCCCTACTTCTCAATTCTATGCCTACGTTGAATTTTTTAGAATAATTATTGTTAAATGTTTTATTATTATTTTTAGATTATGTAATTGAATTGAGTGAACAAAGTATATGGCAAAGTTTGCTGAATTAAATGTTTTTTTTCTTTTTTTCTCCCCCTTTGTTTTTTTTCTTTTTTTTCTCCCCCTTTGGGTTTCTGGAACATAGCATAGTTAATAATTGTTCTCTGAATGAGTAATTTCATAGTTATTGGTTATTTGCATTATAATATTTTGTCTACATGTACATTCTTCTTCTAGGACCTTAATGCTAGTTTTGGAATTTGAGTTTAAAATATGCTATATTGGCGTATGATGAAAGTGTTGGGATTGATGCATTTGAATTTGGGAAAGAGAGGTTGTAAGAATTTTAAATGACTCCATTGCAGATTGTTTTGAGATCAACCTAATTGACTCCAAGCGTAGTTGAATATATGGAGCTTAAGGATTTGAAATTCATTACTTTAGAACAGAAGAGGTTTATCATCTTGAATTTGAATTTTAGGTTATAACCCTCGTGTCCATATAGAAGGATCTCCTCACTTGAGATATATCATTTTTCAGATACTTAGGTAGTGTTTGTATTTTAGGTGAATCTTTTTGGGGGAAAAGAGTTTATTTGGGATGAATATGTACTTGAATTGAGTGAACAAAGTATATGGCATATTTTGCTGAATTAAAGAGCTTGTTACTATTTATACCTTGTATATGCATCACAATCCCGACCCTTCTAACTCGGATCACGTAAATTATAAACCCTCTAAATTTGGGTAAGTAGATACATAAGGGTCAACAACTGTTTGAAAACTAAAACACAATTTGTAAAGGATGTAAATTTGGTGAAGTTGACAACACAATCTCATCTATATTGTAGCTTTGCCTTATCTGGAGATTGAATGCGCATGCTGCAGTAGCCTAAATCAGTTTCTATCAGTGATGTTGTTCTTTGTAGTTTTAGTTAGACGTTTGTAGGATATATAAGTTTTGTTACAGTTTCTTGCATGTTCATTTTCACAAGTTCTATGAAGTTGCTTTTTGGTTCTATTTAAGAAGGCTGAAGCCTTAATTTGTGCCGGAGCCATCGAGGGAGTTAGATATTGGACAACATAGGTGTATTTTGCGAAAATATTATTTTAAATTTGAGAGCGAAGATGAATAGTTAAATTCTAAAGGGATAATGCGCCTGAAATCGAAAATAAAGCGAATGCCAATATGGTTTTGTTTTTTTTTTTTTTTGGGNGTATTTTGACTACAGAGGAGACCACTTAGTGTTTAACTAGTTCAAGAATTTGTCCCTCATCTTTCTTGCTACTTCAAACTTTTTTGTCAATCATAGGTGATTTTTCTTTCCATAGTTTCCCTCTACTTAGATCATTATTCATAACAAAATGAATCCAGCTATTGCATTCTTTTCAAAGAGACGTCACAAGCTCAGTCACAAACTCCTTCAATCGATGGCTATAATTTGAATATTGCTTGAGGTCATGGTGAACTCATGTGTTCTGTCCTTTATTTTTAATCATCTAAGAATGGAATCTATGGTCTCCATGAGTTTGATGCCTGAGTTTGAGACCGAATGATAATTGTGGGAGTGAAAATCTCAATCTTTAGAAGGTGTTTGTTAGAATAGAGTTAGAAGTCCTATCTTTTTCTAATTTTCATGTATGCTTATTCTGTTCTAGACTTGACCTTTTGTTATGTGCTGAAAAATCATTCAGATGTTGGGAGTGCAGATAAATTTTTCAGGTGTTTTGATTTTTAGTTCCAATGTGTCAAAATATAAGCTTTTATTTGTGCTTTTCTTTTCTTTTACTTTCGTTTTCTCCTCAGGTATAGCTTGTTTCACCATTGTTGATAAGCAGGTTTGTATTTCTCACCATAGTAACACCTGCTTGGACTATGTTAAAATGTTGTCATTTTTCCCCCTTTCTTTTCTTTTCGAAGTTATATTGTATTTGGAACTTCTGCTCTGGACCAGATTCCATAGTCGGACGAGCTGTGGTTATCCATGCTGATCCCGATGATCCTGGACGAGGTGAGTTTATGTGTTATATGTATTTCCTAACATAATGAAACTAGATTTTAACAGCTAGCTATAAGTTTAATATAACTTTAACATTTGCTTAAGCACGACACTTGATAAACGACATTTCTGATATAGTGGTGCTGGTAGATAATTAATCAACCGTTAATAAACGATGAATAGTTCAAACTGATTTAGTGCTTATTGTTTTTGTTTTTGTTTGCTGTAATTACTAAACAATGCATCTGTATCTCTGAATGCTGGAATATAATTATTTGAAAAATGTGTTTGTGTATGAAAAATCGGTAAGTCTTGTGTTAAGCCATCCTAATTTCAGTTTTTACAACTACTCATACCTTCATTAGAAATGTCATACTTTAAAACTGTTCATCAACAGAATTATGAAAAAGTATGACGTTTGATGATATAAGTATAAATTTTTATTTATAGAGTTTGGTGGGTTGACCCGCCTAATGGTTAAGCCGCCTCACAAAAGAATTTGTAATGAAAAATAACACTTCCTGAGGTTATCTCACCACTTGAATTTTGAAAATCACTTAAAATTTGTTCTACCATCTAATGACTGCCTCTTTTTGTTCAGGTGGACGTGAACTGAGCAAATCCACTGGAAACGCTAGTGGTAAGGAAAAATAATTGTTGAATCTATGTTAAAATGCATATCGATGCAAGAAAAAATTGGACTACAATGTCATTTTTTTAAAGTACTGCTGCAACTTCACATTGATGAACTTACAACTGATTATATTAGCCACTCTTATAATTTTGTTGGAACTAGTGTTTTTCGCCATTAATAGATAGTATTAATTAAGTCAGTAACTTCAATTTTAAGATATCTTTCGTACTGAACTACTGTGGAATTCACTAAGACTGACCATAAAAAAGGTTCCTAACCATCGACTAACTACTTACGGTTTTTTATCTTATTGTGGAATTTTAAGGGTGTGATTGTTTATAAATTCAACTAGTTTTTATTTGGTTTGGTTTTAACTATAGTTACTTTTAAAAAAAAGTGGTATAGTTAGTTGTTAGTAGATATATTAAATTAATAATTAAATAAAATAATTAAAGTTGATTTGATGTAAAGTAGGAGAAAAATGATTGGAAGTGATGGTTAGTTAAAATTATGTGAGTGGATGAATAATGAATTAGAGTTGATGTGATGTGTAAGAATGATTAGTTGTATTATTTAATTATATTGATAAAATTGGAAATAGTGGGGTTGAATTAAAGTTGAGTTAAATTTGAGTTTGATTGATTTTTTTACTATTGAAACAATATCCAATCGCCCCCTAAGATATATTGTCTTAGTTACCGGATTGTGGGCAGACATGTTCGCATTTTGTTATCTTATAATAAGCATTATGTTCTTTTAGTCGTGATTTATTTTTATTTATGGTTTTTCATTTAGGTGTTTGATTTGGAAGAAGCATACTTGGAAGAAGAAATTGATGATATACAAAGACGGTGGACCAAGTATTTTCTCGATATCACCTCATTGGCAAAGTAGTAGACTATATAGGCTTTTGTTTGGAATATTTGGTTTATGTTGAACTATTTAAATTTTCAAGTATGGTTAGCTTTTTGGGAAATGTCAAACTACGTTGGTATTATTGATAATGAATTAATTTTAGTAAATTTCTTTTATTTTTATCTATTTAGTTGTATTGATGGTACATTTGGTTTCAATTAAATAGAAAAAAAAAAAAAAAATGACCATTTATCTACTTTTTACATCGGATAATAAAGTACGATATAAAAAAAAATTGTATCGGTCATAAGTACGACACATACAATCTTACATCTTTTATATCGGTTTAAAAACAACATATAGAATCTGATTTTCTATATCGGGTTCGATGTTCAACCCATATAAAAAGATATTTTTTATATAGAGTGATTCATTCACCCAATATAGAAAAGACATTTTTTATATCGGGTATTCTATAGTCCGGCTTTCCATATGTCTTTTCTAGATGGGGTTATTCATTCACCCGATATAAAAAGTCTACTTTCTATATGTGGTATCACCAGATATAAAAAGATGACACTTATTATATGGGCTGAAACTATATCGAAGCTGAAACCGATATAAAAAGTTATTTTTACCCGATATAAAAAGCATTTTTTCCACTAATGGTAGAATAAGCTATGAAAATCTTCATTTCTATACTTCGTGTTTGGGTTTCAGATATAGTTTTAGGTGAAGGTCATAGTGAAAAATGATGATAAACTCCTACTTTTTGTTGCAAAAAATGGTTTGAGAAACGTTTAAAACAATTTATGAGAAACGTATAAAACAAAGCTTTGAGTGATTGTTTGATATGCCATACAATTATAATCATTAATTACTAACCAACTGATAATGTAACAAAGAATTTAGTCTACCCTTAAAAGGGTAGTATAGACAACAAATATTTTTACAGAAATATTCTCTTTTAGGATAGTAGTAGATAATTAATTATGTATTTTCTCTGTCAAATCCACGAGTTTGTATTCTACCTTTGCGGCAAGAAATTGAACCAGTTTGTATTCTACTTTGTGGCAGAAAATTGAAGAACAAGTTGTAGTTAGTTATCAATCACCAATGGACATACCTTTCCATGTATTTCACTTTGGAGAAGTGCTCGATTATCTAAAGAAGCAATCACGTTGAGCATCTCAATAAAAATCTTCATCTTTGTGTGAATGTATATAACATATTTTATACACGTGTGAATTGTATTAAAACCTTTATGTTACACTTATGAATTAATGTAAAGTTGCTTCATTATTCTTTTTGATTTATTGCTCATTTTCATTGTAAATTGTCTTCGACAATGTATGTTTATGGATAATTTGTAAATACCTGAAATTAGAATTATTATCAATCCTAACAAATAGTCTAGTCATTGGTTGTGTTGTTATTCTATAGTATTAGGAACAGATTCACTTGTACCTATTTTGGTTGGTGGTTGCAACGGACATATTCTCTTAGTGAGCATTAGAACCTCTGTTTTCACTAACCAATAATGAAACAAATTTTTTTTGTTCTTATTATTTATTAGTAATGAAAAATGAACTTTAACCAACAGAATTTTCTGTTCTTGAAGATTCATTTTCTAGTAGTATACTACCACATGTTTATAATGAATAAATCATACTATAGAATCTCCACATAATAACTGACGATGGTGATGGTATGCTGAAGTTTAATGAGATGCTCAATGACTCTACTCCTCGAAATCTATAGTTTAGAAAGATAACCTTTATAAATAACTTATTTTTTCCTGGTAAAAAAATTTACACTTTAAAATAATTTATTTTATTCATTTTTTCGTAAAAGTGTATTAACTTGATTTAATATTTAACATAATCAAAATTGACTTGACTGTGTACTAGGTAAAGACCACTACTATGTATAATTTGCTCAATCCTTTTATTTTAATTTTTTTTCTCCAAATTTTTACAAGTCATCTCATCTATATATATAAAAAGAATAACCATTTACTACAAATAGTAGCAAAAAAATCTAGGAACATTTAATGCATACCTTATTTAAAAACTTTTTAACTATATGCATTAATTGCTTGTGTATAATCAGATATGATCAAAAAGATTCTTTCCTTGAATAATTTTATTAACTTCTGCAATATCCATTACAATAAACTACAATTTGGTTTTTCGTGATTTATGTTGATAATGTTTTGGTCAACATAAAATAAATTTTAAATCTTTACCCATATTATAATTTTTTTTCACAAAAATTGATTTTCATCCTTAAATATTTATAAACAATCGTAACATGTTAAATAATTTTCTCCTTTTAACTAATTAGGCGAAATCAAGTTGATGAACTAATATTTCGAATAATAATTTTTAACCTTTATTTAATTATATAAAAACAAATAATATTTAAATTGATATAATTTACTATTTAAATGATATTGATCACATCATTAAATCATTTTACTAATGGCTCAATAATGAAATTAAAATATATCAATTATTCTTCAAAATTTTAAAATGTGATTTATTTGTATATTATTGTCAACCATGATATATCTTTTTCGTTTTTTTATTAGTTTCTATAATGAATTTATTGTAAAATATATTTCGATCGCATAGTATGTTAAATAAACTATAAAGCCGTAGGAGAAAATTAGAAAAATCTCTTGATTATGTAAGGGATTTATTTTTTGGCAATTGATAAATCAATTTTTTTATTTATTATGAGAAAGTTGAATTCTTAAAAACATGTGTGTGTATATTTTGTAAATATTTATCCACAAAATTTTATTTTAAATTTCTTTTATAAATAATAATATCGACATTATATGGCAACATATTTTATAATAAAACAATAATTGAGTATTATATGGGGAACAAGAATAAGTAAAATTTTTATTTTTTCTTATATCAATGAAAAAATATATATTCTAAAATTAAATTTATATTAGTATAACGTGTTGGCGGATTAATATATTAATTAACATGTTAACGTTCTGGCTAAAATAAACATCACTGATTAAAAGAAGTGAAAAATAGATGATCCAGCACTATTGTTTTAGTGCCTATATAGAAATTACTCATTTAATATATGTGTCTCGTGCATCGCATGGGCTATGCAGTAGTGTGCTATGACTTAGACAATCACATACTTCGGTGATGGGACATATATTCTTTTTTTTTAAAAAAAATTATTTTTAATAGTAAAAAAAATGAAAAAAATAAAATTGAGTGGAATAATTAATTATTTTTTAGTTTGCAAATGTATAGGAATTAAGTTGAAAAAATAAATTTTTTATGATATAAAAATAACAAAATAATGATTATAAATAATTATTAATTAAAAATATAGGTGACTGGATGAGTATATGATGTTGTATAATACGTATAGTAAAGATTAATTTTGTATATTATATTGATAAACTTGAGGTGGATAAAGTAAGAATAAATGAATAACAAACATTTTGGACAAAATTTATATCCAATCACAATTATAAATAACAAAATGAATATAATTTATATTCCATCATACTTTGAACAAGTAATCAATGGATCTGATTTTTTCCAATATATTTCTGTACGTGTGTGTATGTCTATACGTATATATAATTAATTTTCTCAATCTTTCTTTCTTTTATTTGTTTTCTCCCAATTATTTAAGATGTAAAGACTCAATTGACTTAGAGCCGAAATCGAGCAAATTCAGGCATTTGGAATGCATTACGATGGACCCCTTATTAACCTTCAGACTGAAGCAGATGAGTTTACCTGGTATTTTATCATTTTTAATTTAAGTATTTAAATAATTTATACTTATAATGAGAGAATGATATTAAGTTTATAGGTAAAGGCAAAAATTAGTGTACTCCCTCCATTCCTTTATACATGTCGTTTTAATTTATAAGGCTACAATTACCATTTAAAGGAATTGAGTAATTAACCTTATAAAAAATTCCTTAAATATATTATATTATTATTTTCTCTCTCCCCTACTCTCTCGTCTTTATTAGTACGAGATAGGACAAGGGATAATTTCATTCTTGTGAATCTAGATAATAAGCAGACTTGGCAACCAGAGAGGGAGATCCTTAAAGCAGCAGTTAGAGACTGGTTGGATTTTAAAGGGGAGGCACTGGAAAATTGAGCAT